TATAGCAGAGCAAAGGCAAGAACTGAGTTCCAGACTACAACATTGTCCCTTTCAGTAAACAAGAGATAGAAAACTCCAAGCCCTAGCAGGTTTGGCTCAGTGGAAAGAGTGTCAGCCTATGGACTGAAAGGTCCTGGGTTTGATTCCCGTCAAGGGCACGTACCCAATTTGCAGGCTCGATCCCCAGTAGGGGGCATGCAGAAGGCAGCTGATCAATGATTCTTTCTCATCATTGTTGTTTCTATCTCTCTCTCTCCTTTCCTCTCTGAAATCAATAAAAATATATTAAAAAATCCAAACTCCAATAACAAGAATGATTACAGAAGGGTAATAGTCACTCAGTAGTGACCATATGGACAGGCCCTGTGCTTTCAAACCTGGTCTCAATGAATCCTCACCCAAACCTATTACATAAAGATTATAATTATCTCATTTTATAGTCAAGAACCTGAGACTCAGAGAAGTCAAGTAACTTTCTCAAGGTCACACAGCTAGTAAGTGGCCAAGCTGGGATTGAACCTGGAGCCATGACTTGAGCCATGCTGTTAAGATCAGTTTCCAGGGACTGCAGGTCACATCACTAAGTGAACTGGGTGGGAGTGGCTACTGAGGTGAACTGGAGACTTTCCTAAATGGGGCAATCACCACTCAGCAGCAACCAATAGTTGCCATGGGAACATGCACATCCAGAATGGCCAGACTTACCAATTTCTCAATCTGGATTTCTGTGTGAAATGTCCGGGGCTTTAACATTGAAAATTGGTTCTAAGTTGGTTTTAAGACAACCTATATACTAGAGACTAAAGAGATTTTGCAGCCAGTTCAATGAGTCTTGACTGGATCGTGGTTTGAAAAACCAAATTCTAAAAGACATATTTTAGTATGACTGGGAAAATTTTAATATGATTGGATATTTGATGATATTATGAAGATTCTTTTGTTTTGCTTGGTTGTGATTACTGGAATTGTGATGTAAAAAAAAAAAGTCTTTTTCCTTAGGAGATCCATGATGAAATATTTAGGGACAAAGTACCTCATTGCAACTTATTTTCAGATGCTTCAGCCATAAAACAAAGGGGAAAGAAGGGATGTAGAGAGAGAGGGAATACGAAAGAAATATTTGAAGAGAAAGAGATTAACAATAAAGCGAATATGACAAAATACTAATAAGTGTTTAGTCTAGATTAGTAGTTCTCAGTCATGAGTCTGCCCCTACATGACATTTGACTATGTCTGAGGGTGTGTTTTCCTCTCATGACTGGGCTGTGCAGTGGATGCTACTGGCATCTAGTGGGTAGAGTCCAAGGATGCTGCCAAACATCCTGCAGGGCACAGAACAGCCCCCAACAAAGAATTATCCAACCCCAAGTGCCCGTTGTGCCCAGAATGAGAAACCTGGTCTAGATAAAGGGTCTACTGAAGTTCCTTTTGATTCGCTTTTCAAGTTTTTGTAGGTTTAAAATGTTTCACAATTTAAAAAAAACTTTAAAAATATATAAGCATATACATAGAAATATTTTGCAGACCAAACAAAACATGTCTGCATGGTTGGGTAACCAGAGCTGGCCATTTGCAGCCACTTTTTCCACTAAATAGTGGTTGAATGTAGCTGCTGTTACAGCTGCTGAATGAGCATCTGTATGGTTCTTACGAAATCGAGTGCAAAGCACCCCTCCTGAAATTACTATCTTTTTCCTGCTTCCAGTCCTAATGAGCCCAGAAGCAAGCAGGCAGTGTGCCCAGGCAGGACTACGGGCCTAAAAACTGACATCACGGATGCCTCTTCTGGGAAAACACAAGCGTGCTGGCCACCAAGAGCAGTTCGTGACATGGGAGCAGTGGAGGTTCTTATAGATGAGAACAAATCCTTCATCTCAGTGACCCTCACAGCCCAAGACAGAACTAATTAAGAGGCTGTGGCCAGCACATTAATTTCACCTGGAAGCCACCTGCTGGTGCCAAGCCTGGCATGTCGGCCCCACCCAAGCATCCCTGAGCCCCTACAGGCTAATGAGTCCATGGCTGGGACCAAAAACGATTCCCTGAATAAGCAGCCCAGGGTGCATCTGGAGGGGACTTGGGGCAGCTTCAGCACCAAAGAAATACATATTAAGGCTACATACATGCAGAAAACAAGCAGCAGAACACAAATAAGGGAGTCACCTTGGATTGATTCATTTATCCCAGCCTTGTAAAAATACTAGTCTTCCTAAACCCAAGAACAGTCATTCTCAAAGTTGTTAAATGCAAATTTTGAGGGGCCCATCCCAGACCTCTTGATTCAGACTCTCTCGAGATAGATCTCAAGAATGTGCATTTTAGGAAGCTCCCTCCAACTCTGATGCTCACCCCAACAGAAAACATCTGGCCCGGACACAGTGGGAACCGGGGGAGTAGATGCTGCACCATTTTGTAGCTGTGTGACCTTGGGCAAGCCACTCAACTTTGTAAGTGGGAATTAGAATAGCACCTCTCTCACAGGATAATTGTGAGAACTCTAGGGATGTTTGCGCACACACACACACACACACACACACACACACACACACACCCTAGAGCAGTGCTGGACACTCAGAACCCTGAACTGCACTGAGCAAATGTGATTGCCTATTTCTTAGCAGAGATTGGCAGAGCACTGTAAAAGCCCGAGTGCTTTACCAATGTACAGACATTCAGGTCTTTATCCTAAAGATTTTGACTAGGGCAAGGCCCAAGTTGGAGATTTTTTTTTTTTAATAGCATTCCAGGTGAACCTAAACAGCAGCCAAGGTTGAAAACCACACCTGGGAAGCTGCCAGGGGAGAAAAAAATCAACTCTTTCTCTTCAGGTGTATGCACTTGCTCTCCATTCTGGAATTCGCAAAATGCATATATCACCAGGAGAGCCTATAGTCAGGCTGTTACAGAAGACGGATCCCACCTTCTAGCAGACTTTTCCTGATACTGGCAGAAGAAGGTGGCTACACTCTGAGCTGGAGTGATCCTTTGGCCCCCTAGTAAAGCTGCAAAGGTGCTAGACAAGGAAGTTGAGTCCCTGCTGGGCTCTAAGGTGCCTGATTTCCACACGAAAACCCGGATCAAAGAGGGGCTGAAGCTAGGGTCACTTTCTCCCATAGGTACCTAAAGGTTAGCTCTCCTCCCACTTTGCCTCCTCCCCGTTCCCTCTCCACCCACCCCTCTCCCTCCTCCCCAATCCTCCTAACCCCCAACACTGAGGAGGGCTCCTTTCAGCGCAGGTTTGCAAGGAAAGGGCTCGGTGAAGATTTCAGCAGAGGAATTAACCCGCATCTGCAAGGCAGCCTACCTATGCCTGGGAGAATCTCACCCTACCAAGGCGACAGGGCTGCCGCAGTCCTGCCTGCGTACCTCACCCTCACCTTAGCGCAGACCTCGGAATGCACCGCGATGGCGGGCACCGTAGGGGAGTGAGACCACCCGGCCCATGGGGCTGGGGACAGGGCACCTTGGGGTGGCAGGAGGTGGGCGGGGCCAGCGCTTTATTCTTTGGGGAGATCAGCATCCCCTCCAAGCTTACTTCTGTTCCTCAAGACCTCTCACCACACCTCCCTGCGGACCCAACCCGAAAGGAACTTCACTTCTCCACCTCCCCCCGCCCCCATCCCTGCTCCCCCTGCAAAGTCCTCCCCTCTGGAAGAGAAAAAAAAAGTCATCAGATACTCCTCGTATAAATAGAAAATAATTACTAGTGAGGTGGTGATGCTCCTTCTCCTATTTTGTTTTTTCTGGGGCTCTTTGTTCAGATTTTTTAGGCAGACTCTTCAGCGCATGCATACACACGGGCACACAGAGGCCCCCGGCGGAGGTGTGGGGTGTGCGTGTGTGTGCATGTGTCTGTGTGCAGGGGGGAGGAGGGGGGAGAGAGACGGAGATGCTTGGCAACTCCGTTACCCACACTCGGAAAGAGGACAGAGCTTGCGCCCAGCCAGCCAGCCATCCATCCAGCAGTGCGCAGGCCGCCTGGCGCTCTCCAACCCCACCTGCCGGGACCTCACACCAACCCCCGGGCTCTCCCGGGAACCGGGCAGCTGCGTCCTCACCTCCAAAGTTACTGGGCTGTGCGAGTTCATGTAGACACTTATAAAACAAGCAAAAGGCAAATAGCTCCATTAATCCCCCCAATGCCTCCTTCCATCTGCTGCGACTTTCCTCGTGCTGGGACTTGCATAACGATGGAGGCAAACGGGAAAGTTGTCGAATCGGGGTGTCAGGGAGGGGGTGGGGGAGGTAGTATCCACGCGGGGCGGGGGCTCTGGCCTTTGAAGTCCACGCCAGCCAGGGCTATGGGTCCAGGGGGAGGTGGCGACGGGGAAGCGGAGCCAGGGAGTTGGGGAGGGGAGAGGGGAGACCTTAGAGGCAGGCAGCAAGTTCCCGATGCCAAGGACCTTGCAGCTCAGCTCGGGGAAAGCAAGGCTTTTGTTCTCGCCCTCCCCGGGCTCTCCGCCCGCCTCGCCTCCTCTCCACGAGCCGCACTAGTGGCAGGCGGCACACACAGCTTCCCCTCCTCCTCCTCCTCCCCTCACACACGCGAGCTCCGGCTCTCACACACACACCCCTTCCCTCTCTCTCGGGCTCCTCCGCTGGCCCCTGTTGGTCTAGGCTATGGTGTTTGGAACCAGAGTGGACCGCTCCCCAAAACCAGAGACTCGGAGGCCAAGGGCTCCCAGCGGTGTGCCTAAGGTCCGCTGCAACCTTACACTCGGGGAGGGGGTGCGGCAAGGCAGGGAGGGGAGGGAGAGACCCCCCCCCCAACACACACACACACACACACACACACACACACACACACACACAAAAGCTCCTGTGCACACCTGTGCGGAGCCCAGCTCCCCTCTCCAAATGGAAGTTGGCTCCCGGTGGCATCCCTCAGCAGAGAGCCTGGGGGGGGGGGGGGGGCATTGCTTAGGGAAGGTGGAAGGTGGAAGGGGAGAGAAGGGAGCACGGGGCTGGGAGGGGAGAGCGAGGGGAGGGGGGTAGCCCACCTGGACATGTGCTCCCTCTGGGGCCGGTGCGCCTTCTCCAGCCCTAGCTTGGTGAAGATGCCCACGAGTACCATGACGGCCACCACCCCGCAGATGATGTACACGATGAGGTTGGTCTTGTCCTTGGTGGGGTCGTGCAGGGGGTCGTCCTTGCGCGCGGGCGGCTTGCCGGTGTTGAGCCACAGCGGGGTGTCGTAGTTGGTGCAGGTGCTCTGGTTCAGGCGCCGCTTCTTGAAGGTGCAGCAGAACCGGAAGCCACAAGTCCCGCAGCAGAAGATGAAGTCGCCGGAGCTGCAGTTGAACGGCGGGTCCCACTGGCCCATGACATCGAAGTAGCCCCGGCAGGAGTCCGGCGTGGGCGCCCGGGTCGGGGGCGCGTCCGAGACACCCTCGCCCGCCTCCCCGGAGGCGGCGGCCCCGGAGCGGTTGCCCCCCGTCAGCAGCAGCACGCCGCCCAGCTGCGCCAGCTGCCCGTGCCCCGCCGCCCGCTCCTGCGCCCGGCACACGCGGGCGCACAGCTCAGCGAGGAAGCAGCCGAGGAGCAGCCGGAGGACGCGGCGCATCGTGTCGTCTCCCGGCCCGGGCTCGGCCGTGGGGCCGCCGCGGGAGCCGCTGCTGCAGCCGCCTCTCGAAGCGCGGCCGAAGCTGCCGGGGCTGCTGCCGGGGGCCGGGAGCCGCCGCGGGCCGCACATGCAGGGAGCGGCGCGGGGCGCTCGGGGGTCGGCGGCCACGGCGCTCGGCTCAGCAGCCCGTGTTCGCCTCCAGCGCGCCGCGCGCCCAGGGGCTGGCCGGGGAGGAGCGCGCGGGGCCGGGCGGGGAGGAGGGGGGAGCGGGGGCAAGCGCGGGGTGCAGGTCCGGCTGGCTGCGGGAGAGGCGGGGGCCGGAGCGCCGGGGAGAGAGAGTCAGCCCGCCCGCGCCTCCCCTCGGCCGGCGGCTCCGGACTCGCTGCCCCGCGCCCGCTCGCAGGATCCCTCTCACCTCCTCGGCTCGCCAAGTGCGCCGGAGAGAGCGAAGCGACACTTGTGGAATGAAGGGAGGCCGGGAGGGAGGGAGGAGGGAGAGGAGGGCGGGCAGAGGAGGCGCGGGGTGGGGAGGCGGGCGCGAGCGCGAGAGGGGCGGGGGCGCGGGAGAGGTGACTCGGGCGGGCGGGCGGGAGGGAGCGAGTTGGGGGCGTGCGGCACCGAGCCCGGCTGGCGGGCGGGCGGGCGGGGAGAAGGGAGTTTCGCAGCCGCTGCAGGAACAGCTCGGGGTTCCCGGCAAGTGGAGGAGGACGGCGGGACCCCCGCGCCCTCTCCAGGCTGGAGGCGCGGCTCAGACCTGTTCCCGGTGCAGAAGCGGCTCCGCCCCTTGCTTTTTTCTGGGATGCCGGCGGCACCGGAGCTGCCGATCGAATCTGCCCAACCGGGAAAGGGTGCCTCGGAGGCGCTAGGGACAGGCTAGGTGGCTGACACTCCCAACAGAGACTCAGTCTGAGCGGGATCGCCCCGCCCAGGTGCGCGGGCCGCTGTGCCCTTCCTGCTCCAGCCAGACACGCCATCGGATGGCCCAACTCCTAGGGCGGAGGTGAGGACCGCGGCTGAGCTGGGGAGGCGGGGTGGCAAGCCCCTGGGCCCGAGCTAAGACCCCGGGAGAAGGACTTGGGCTGAACTAAAGTCAAAGACGCAGCCGACAAGACAGAAGCTATAGCATTTCTCGAAAGGTCTTTCTTTGGGACTCTCCCAGGCCCCCGTACCTGCCACTTGGCTGTTCCTCCCTCTCCCCCGCCTTTCTCCCCCCCCCCCCCCCCGCCCCTAGTAGAGTTCCCTGCGCTCCACAGGAGGGCTCACAGCAGCTCAGCCTCTGTGCGCCCAGATCTGGCGCAGTGCAAGGCCCGTCTACCCAATGTTCGCCTCCCTCCCGGACCTGGAACCCGCGCACCGGTCTCCAGACTCCACTGGCCCCGGATCCCACCAAGCCCCGGCCACACCACACCCCGTCCTCCTCACCCAGGGCTGCGGAGCTGGCCTTGCTCCTGGGCTTCCAGCCTTGCGTCGCCCTCTCTCTACTCGGCCAATTCCAGCCATCGTCAGCCCTCTCCCATTTCTCTCACTTCTCCTCTCCTCTGCTTGAATTTGACTCCAGTAGCCTCCGAAACAGCATTTGTACCAACACTGCTACACCAAATTTAGACTTCCACACACGCCCCTGCGTTTTGTTTTTTAATTGCATTAACTAAGTATACACTTTGCAGTCAGCGAGGCTATTTGCAGCGATAAGATGTTTCCACCCCTTTCCTCTCCATGTGGCTGCCATCAAGCTCCTCTCAGAGCATTTTTTCAGGAAGTTGGGGGCCGTACAATGACATACGGGGGTCCCTTTCATTGGAAAAGCAAGCAGGTGCATGGGGCTCTACGGTAAGTTTTCTGGGGGATGTGAGCCAATGGCGTCTTCTCTTTGAAGACACATCATCTACCTACTGTCTTCTCAGACTTACAAAGAGTGACCCTGTCCAGCAACAATGCACCCGGGCAACACTGACAGAGCATAGCCAGGGGTCTATCAGTCCTAGAAGACTCACTGAATCATGGGGCTATATTATGTCCCAAACACCCAGACAAGGCGTGAGATTGTGCGTCTAAATTCATCCGATGCATCATGACGGGGTCCCCAAAATAAGACAGTGTGGCATGTCTGTGGACCCACACCCACTACCACTGTGTGACTCTCTACAAACACAGCTCTGGTGTGTAAGTTATTGATAGCTGACATTTATTCAGTGCTTGCGACATCCCCACGAAGCTTGCTCCTCGCAGATGCTTAGAGCGGTGCCTAGCATATAGCAGACAATCTGGGAGTGTTTGCTCAGCCCCTGAGTGACAGATCTCATTTAACTCTATCCATTAGGCAGTCTTACCAGGCCCACACAACACAGGGAGAGACGGAGGCCCAAAGCAATTAAGCCAGTTGCCCAGGGTAGCTTAGCAAGGAAGTGTGCCATTGGCCTTTGACCCAAGAAATTTGACTCAGGGGCCTGTATTCTAACCATGCAAAATAGGCCTCAGGCTCCATCCACTGACATTAGGTAATGCATTTTTTTTTTTTCACCCCACATTGAAATGTAACTTCATGACAGAAATGGCCCTGACCCTTGCAGCATCTAGAACTGAGGGAAGCACTAAAGCACTAAAATAATAGTAATAATAATAATAATAATAATAATAATAATAAACTAATTAAGATCTTTCATACAAGACCTTGTCTTAAACCAAGAAAAAAAGAACACGGGCTCTGACCTGGTGGCTCAGTTGGTTGAAGCAGGTTATAGGTTCAATTCCCTGTCAGGGCACATACCTGGGTTGTGGGTTTGGTCCTTGATAAGAGAGCTTAGGGGAGGCAACCAAAAGATGTAGTTCCCATGGATATTTCTCTCTCTCCTTTCCTCTCTCTCTAAAATCAATAAAAACATATCCTCCGGTGAAAATTTTAAAAAAGAACACGAGGCAGGGACAGACTAGAGTTTCTGCTGTTATGACATCTGCAGAGGGGTTGGCATATTTCTACGTGCTAAATCAGAACCGGAAAGAGCTGCCCCAGCAGGCTTGCTAAGGCCCAGGAAGCTGAGGCTCAGAGAGGTTAAGGGCTTTGTCCAAGGTCACAAGGGCAGCAAATGGGAAACCCAGGGCTGGATTCAGAGCTGCCAGACTTCTCATCTCTAGCATCCTGCCATCCCACCTCACTGCAGTTCCACCCTGGCACTTCCCAGCATGCATCAGGGCTGAGAGCCAAGGGCAAGAACCTGCTAGAAGAATAGGTCATAGACACCTTCCCACAAGAGTTGGGGGGTGTAAGGCATTTATAATTTTAATTTTAAAAAAAACTGTAATGAAATCCAGTCACTGTAAAATATTGCCTGTCACCTGAACATTTGAGTCAGGTCCTCAGAGGAGCCTGGCTGTAGCTGCTGCTCCCGCTTTAATTAACAGAGACTGCCCCCTGTTTGTGACAAAGAGAGTGCAGGATTGTACTTCAGAGAAGCCGACCAGATCCACCCTTCCTGGCTTATTTGCCAGATTCCAAACTTTCAACCTTCTATCCCTTGAGCTTTGCCCCGAATCAAATTTCTTCTGGCCCTGCCTATTGTGGCTGCCATTGCCCCCTGGGATATTGCCGGGCCCTGCTTCACAAACATTTGAAAATTATTTCAAAGTGGGAGGAATCATCTTGGTTCATTTTACTCTTCAAAGGAAAAAAGCCTATATCCTCTGGGTATTTCTGGTCAATAAAGAGTCACTGCCTCTTCATAGATGTGTGGTTAGTGGAAGCATGACCCCATTTTGAAACATCTTCCAAAGCTCCTGTGAGGAGCAGGGGGGAATGGAGAGGGAGTAAACTTCCTAATTGAAACACCTGGCAAGTTCATGGAAGATGAAAAATCATCATCAAAGGCCACCCGCCACCACTATCCAAATGAATTCATGCAAATGTGTTGAAATTAAAATGCAGCTCTTAATGAAAGTACTTTCTAAGAAAGAGACGATGACATTATTATTTACAACACGGGCACTCTTACTATCCAAAGAAGACTCTTTCACTTGCTCGAGCCTTAATTATGTCAGGCCTCAGTGCATGTTTCAAAGAGACCGGAATTGTACTCCCCAGCAATTAGGGGAGAGAGCCACGTGACAAGGGATATGTGCTCACCAGGACCTACAACCACTGTCTACAAGCAACTCAACAAATTAGATCATTTGTGCCATGGCCCTCAAAATCTCCTCATCAGATGGCTTTGAGGGTTTCAAAGAGGTTCCTAAGCAACTATTAGCCTTGAGGGGGGAAAAAAGATAAACAGAAGCTGTTGAAGATGGGTGAAATCTGAAACTGGGCAAGGAGAGAGAGAAGAAAGGCAGGCTGAGCCACAACAGTGGGTGGCAGGTTTCACAAGCAGGAGAACTTATGTACAAGGCCAAGGTGAGGAGATTGCCACACCCTCCCACTAGTTCAAATAGAGGACTCGCTGGGGTTTCATCACGTGCACCATCCAGAGGGTCTCAATAACCTTTACTCCAGCCTTGAAAGTGCAGGAACAGTGAGCAGAATGTACATTTCAAAGACAGGGGAGGGGTGAGCAGCCACCAATAGCCAGCGTCTAGTTCAAGGGTCAACCTCTGGTCATGCCTCTCAATGACCTCTTCACAGAAGCCTACATATACCTAGCACCTTGCCAGGTTCAAGCAACACCCTCTATATATTAAATATAAAGATATTGTATTATTTTTGTTCTAAAGGGATAAGAGAAACCTTATAGAAGAAGGAAAGTGAGTCTACAATATAGCTCCCCCAGATTACAGGTGGAATGTGATTTATTTTTTGGTGGTACCTCAATAAAGATTTTTTTAAATAGTTTTATATTTACTTCAATCTATATCAGGAAAAAAAATAATGATGCATCCAGCCATAGTATCATGGGCATAAATGTTTAAGGTGTAGTGAATCCTTTAAGCCCATCAATTTAAAGTTAATTTAAGAAAAACAATAAAGCCGAAACCAGTTTGGCTCAGTGGTTGGAGCATCGGCTTGAGGACTG